ACTTGCTTCTTCTTGAATGCTAGTATTCTTAGCAACCCAGCTCCGACCCTGCCCTTGATCTGAGCTTGCTTTCTGGCCAAACTTTTTCAATCATTCCACTGTGCCATTTGCTCTTGATTCTCAAAGCAGGGCCACCTGAAAGCCCCCCCCACAGCACCCAAGTCACAGCCTGAATGCGCAGCTGCCATGAAATTCTCTGCACCAGATTCCTCTACTGTCCTGAATCTCACTCTCCTGCAAAGTCTGAGACACAGGCCAGACACAGGCCAATTACCCAGCCCAGAGCCCGACCGCCAGCGGAGCCCCCACGCCCAGCTGGCACCTCCTGTGCTGGCCTTCAGTGTTCTGGCAGCTTCTCCAAACCTTGCCCCGCTCTCCCCATAAGCCACGGCTTCTGAGCCACGTGAGCAGGCTGCATCAGAGCAATCACCCCACTCTCGGTACTAACATCCACCACAGTTACTTCTGTTGTTGAGACACAACAGCTGACACCCACAACTCCCGGCTCACGACTCTGCAGAGGTCTCAGGCCATCCCTGACCGGCTCCAAGGCAGGGCAGCCTGGCAAGAGGAGGATGGCAGAGGAAAAAGAGGCCGTGGCACGTGACAGGAAGCCAAGAGGGATCAAGGAAAGAAGGAAGATAAACCAGGCCACACCTCCTCCCAACAGCACATTTCACTATCAACTCATCAGTGGACTAATCCATTGAAGAGTACCACGCCTCAGTGACCCAATCCTCTTTCAAAAGCCCCATCTATGAACTTACTATGCATTTGGGGACATCTACATAGATAGATTGATTGACTGACTGACTGACTGACTGACTGACTGACTGACTGACTGATTGATTGACTGATTGATTTGGTACAGGGTCTCACCACCCAGCTCAGACTCGTAGTGATCCTCCTGTCTCAGCCTCCTCATGCTGGGATTACAGATATGCACCACCACACCTGGTTTAAGTGGCCGGTTCAGTGCACCTGGGGTTCCAGGGCCAGCACGGCATACCGTACCAGGGATCAACCCCGGGTCCTTGCGCTTGCCAAGCAGACACTTAGACTGCCAAGCTACCTCCCCAATCCCAGAGGACACCTAGATATAAACGGTAACATCACCAACCTCAGAGAGAGGGTGCGAGAGCCTACACCTCCTCCCAGCTCTGTCTACCTCTAAGTGCTCCACAGCTAGCTGAGCTGTCCTGCGGCCAAAGACCCTGTGCATTGTCCGCTCCTCGCTGTCACCTGTGTAGCGGGGACTTCATGGTCTTAGCACATAGTGTGGCCAGCCAAGGGATGGATGGGAGGATACAAGAAGGGAGGAAGGGGTGAGGGGTGGGGAGACAACAACAGACGGAGGAGCAAGGGAAGGATGGAGGGGTAGAGAGCAGGGTGACGGGGCAGCAGGTGAGAGGCAGGAGCAGAGAAAGGGAGGCAGGGCACAGACCAATGCCGGACCTAAGGGCCGACGCACGCACAGAGACTGGATGAGCGAACGAGCGAGCGAGCGAGCGAGCGAGCAAACGCCTTTGTCTACCTCAAGAAGACCTCACCCACCCGAGAAGCTCCAGAAGCTGAGAGGCAGCTGCTCAGAAAACGAAGGCCGAGAGTCAGACCCTGGAGGATCCCTGAGATGGTCGCACCAAGCTCATGAGCGACCGGGCAACGAGGCGCTCTCTACGCCAGCCCGAGACCAATGGCAGGCTGCCCTTACTGGTGCTTTCCCTGCTCTGAATCCACTGTAGGTACATGGGAGACAGCCGGACTGGGGGAGCAGAAAGAAGCCTCCGTGCTTACACCCCCAGACGTGGATCCTCGCCTCTCGATGACCCAGAGACAACACGGCTCCCATGGCAGTGCAAGGGCCAGGCTTAGGGACTAACCCTCTGCCACGGGCCTCCCCCACCCAGAGGGGACAGCTGCACTGGGATCCCGCAGCTCCTCCTCCCAGAGAGAGACAGGCGCCACCCTCTCCTGGCTAACCCTCGTCCCAGCTTGGGGGCGGACAGGGGCAGGGAGGGAGGGCACGGCAACGGCCACAGCTCCGTGGTCTATGTGGCGCCTCTCAAGCAGGCACAGGGGTCCCTACTGGGGACCGTGCGCATGGCTCTCCTCACTGGGTGGCCCGAGTTACAGATGGCAAAATTACCCAGGGGCTGGGCCAAAATACCCTTCCAGAGAAAATGCCATCAAGAGCCACCAGCAGTGACAAGCAGAGCCAGTGAGATCCCAGACAGCAGCAGCCCCTTGGGGGGCACCCTGGCAACCCCGTGTCCTCTGGTTCCAGGCCTCATTGCATGTGCTAATCACACTCCCAGAAAACCACCCAGGCATGGAGGAGGGTGACAACAAGAGACTGAGGCAGAGCAGCAAGCCGGGGACAACGCTGCCACTGAGGGATGAGGAGCTTCTCCTGCTGCAGGGCACCAGCGAGGCACACAGTCCTGGGTGGCACAGTGCCCATTACCACAGCCACAGGCAGGACACAGGCCCAAAAGAGGCCCAGGCGCAGTGCCGGTGTGCAGTGTGGGAAGATGCTCTGGCCACAGCCCCTCCCAGCTGCTGCAGGAATCGGGAGGACACTGCAAGGAAAGGGTAGAGGGGCAGCGAGCGGATGGGCCTTCAAGGGCACATCGCGGCTGCCTGGACAAGCAGTCCTGGGGAAACTGAGTCTTGCGGCGAGGCCACTCCCTGGTGATGGTGGAGCTGGGCCCATCAGGTCCACAAGCCCGGCTCCTGGCTCGGCGGGGCGAGCACTCCACCTTTACAGACAAGAGGAGAAGAAGCAGTGACAGGGACACACAGCCACCCAGCAAGAAGCCACGTCTCCCAGAACGTCTGGCAGCCCCCCACGGGGTCCCACAGTGCCCAGGCTGGACACTGAGGGTGTCCCACGTACCCACACGCCTCACACAGCCCACGCAGTCACAGGCCCAAGTCACCTCACCAGGGCCTGATGGAGCCCGAGGTCAGAAACTGAGGCAGCTTGACCCCAGGGCTGGACGGGGAAGGCAGCCCCACGCGGCCCGCTGAGCGCAAGCCCTGCTCCTCTCCGAGGCCCATGGTCTCCAGGCAGGGTGGGCGGCTGGGCCCTGCCCACCATGGCTCAGCCCGGGGGTCTGAGCACTGACATCACCTCCAGTCCTGGCACCCCACACTATGGGACCTCCCGCATCCAGCTTCCCCAGGCAAACGCCTGGCACAGCAAAGCCAGGCCACGACCGGCCCAGGAAGACGCGGGCAGACCAGGGTCAAGCGAGCTGGAGCCACCAACACAGTGCCCGAGTCACCACAGGGCCTCTGTGAAACCAGTCTGGCCAGGAAAAGGCCAGCCCTCAGCAAAAGCCTGGCCACACAGTTGGCCGGCCGACTGACGGGAGTTCAATTCAAATTTATGTACGACTTACTTACATCATTGCATTCCACTGCAGCAAATTAAGAGCAAACGAAATTATACACTGAGTCCTTGGATTTTTAACTGTGGCCAGGGCTGGGCGTGGCCCGCCTCCTCTCCGAGTAACACTTTTCATACCAGCTATGTATGTGAGCGTGAGAGAGAATGTGTTTAGGTGTGGAGGAGGGTGTGCATGTGGGCGTGGCAATATTCGTGAGCACAACTGTGAGAGCCTCCCAAGTGCTGTGTGAACACACATGTCCACAGGTGCAGTGCACAAACATGCTCGGATCTGCAGAGTATGAAAGCGGACGAATGTGTGTGTACAGACACCTGTGTGTGGATGGGCACGCTCAAGGGTATGAGCAAGTATGTGTGTGCGCGCGCGCGCACACACACACACACACACACACACACACACGAGGTTCCAGCTGGCTCCAGAGTCCAGCCCAGACCTGCAGCCAAGGGGGATCAAAGCCACCGGAGCCATCAGGAACAAGGCCGCGGCGCTGTGACCCCCTCACAGGAAGGGACACTGCACGGCACCACCCAAACCTCGAGATTCCACGCCAGCTGACACCCGAGGCAGGGGAGGAGGCGCACCACGACAGGTCCAAGTCCCCGCATGCACCTCTGCCCCGCCGCCTGGAACTTTATGGGCCACAGAGGAGAGAGACGGAAACCTCCAAGAGCCAGGTGGGCCAGAGGGCTCTCGCAGGAGTCCCCTGACCTACAGAAGCTGGGGCAGGGGAGCGCCCGCCGTGCCCAGGTGGCTGCCCGCAGGGAGCCCCCATCACACAGGACCGTCGACACCGTGCGGCTACAAAGACGCGCCTCCTGGACCTGGCTCTGCAGTGAGCGCCACTGCAAATGGAAACTGCTCTCAGTCCATAAATCACGCGCTCCAAGTCCCCAGCAAGGGTCCTCCAGTGAATTAGGCACACGGTCACACCACCTGCGACAATACACGGGCGTCTCCCAGACGCCGCAGCGGGTACTTCCATCCTGCTCTCACCCTCTTTTCCCATCGCTGGGCCCCGCTCACTCTGCTGAATCAGGGTCTCTCCCACTCTTCACTTTACGTTCTCAGCTAAACATTGCCACCGTTTTTAAAAATTAATCAGCCAGTCAGTCGAGCAATGAGTACCTGCCAGCTCCCATCAGCAGGCAGAAAGCCGCCCAAGAGCCGCAGAGACGGCACTGCTGATGCAGGGGGTCCTGAGCCAGCGGTGAAAGGAGAGAGCTCGGGCCTGCTGCGCTTCTGATCCCGAGCCACACCGTGTCAGGCTACACCTAGGCTGGTAGGAAGCCACTAACGAGTGGACGTCCCCAGGGCCTCTGGCCTGGCCTCGGGCGCCTCCATCAGCAGGAGCCCTCACAGCCTGCCTTCCCTCCACACACCAGGCCTGAGACACCTGACACCGGCTACTGGCACGGGATAGGGAGCGACCATCCTGCTGGCCTGGTTTGGTGGACAGCTGGGAACCAGTCTGGCCTACACCTGCCCGGCATGCAGTGGGGCTTGGCGGCCAGCCCCATCCTATTCCTGTGGCCCAGCCACACTTGGCCACTGCATCCATGCCTGAGCCAGGAGACGGGGTCCACTCACCTTCCCGAAGTCTCGAACATCGAAGAGGTCAAAGGGGTCGAACAGCTCGCTGTTCCTCAAGCCAAACTTGTCGTGGCAGACTTTGAGGAAGGTGCGGATGTTCTTCAAACACAGGAACTAGAGGCAAGAAGGAAGCAGTCAGTATAGCCAGCAGGCCAGTGGGATCGCAGCCGTGGCAGCCTCGAGCGGCACACTGCAGACAGAGCCCAGAGGGCAGCTGGGAGCTGGCTGCAACCGGGGGGTAGGCCGGGATGAGCCAGGGTCAGCTCTGCACTGTGCCCCTGCTGTCCAGAGCCGCAAGCCTGACAGGGCTGGCTGGGAAGGCCGCGTCCCCCACCAGGGCGCTTGAGAAGTGGCTGGAGGCTCCCTGGCTCCTCCCCGCCGCTCACAGCTGCCCGCCCCCCACCTTGCCCACAGGTGCCCAGCACATGCTAACGCTGACCATCACGGCCTGAGGTCAGCAGGCACGGCAGAGCACGACATACATGTGACTTCCCACGGCCCAGAACCCCTAATTACTGCAAGGCCACGGAGTCAATGGCCAGGAACCGTCCCACAGGAAGCCCTGCAGCCCAGCGGTCAGCAGCGGTGGCCACGTGGTAGAGGGCCAGAAGCACAAGGCCAGAACCTCCACATCATATATGGGTCCCCTCCTCCCCACCTTCCCACAGCCTGTTCCAGGATCCACGTGCCTGTGGCAGGCAAACAGGGAGGGGAGTGGTAAACGGTACCAGTCCAGGCCTCGTGCACAAGCAGCCAGCGAGGTAGCCCTGGGTTCAAGTCCCACCTGCACAAGAACAGCACAGCAGGGCAGCCTGGTTTTCTGGTGTCCCTGCCTCCCTGTGTTAACTGTGTACCTTGACAACACACAGCGACACTTGGCACATGGGGGCCACCCGCCCTAATCCAGCTCGGCACAGGTGTGCAAGGCCCGGACCCTGGCAGAGACGGTCCAAAGTGACTGGGACTTCAGGCCTCTCCTCAAACCCCCTGCCGCCCACAGAAACAGACAGAGGGCAGAGTCAGCAGAAGGCAGCAGGCACTGGAACGGAGGCGCCAACGCCTACGTGTTCTCAGGCTGGTGCGAACCGAGCACCAGGGAACGCGGCAGGAGCACTGTCCCTGACACACACCTCTGTCCTGCAGCAGGCAAGGGCCCAGCTCTGCGGCCTCGGGCCACACCACCTGCCCTGCCAGGCTGGGTCCTATGCAGGTGACCCACTTCCTTTACCTCAGAGTCACTCTCTGGCCCTGCGCCTGTCTGTGTCTCTCCCTGTGTTCACTTTCTTCTGAACACCCAAGGTCACCAGAAAGGTGACCCTCCTTTATCCCTAAGCTCCAGAGCCTGCATCTCCTAAGGACAGAGGTGTCCTCTCCCCAGTCATAGGCCCATCACCAAAATTGGGACAGTAAGCCAGGCCTGGTGGCGCACATCCATAGTGTCAGCACTCGGGGTTGAGGAAGGAGGATCGTTACCAGTTCGAGGTCAGCCTGGGCTGCAAAGTGAGCTCAAGGCCAGCCTGAGCTGCATAGGGAGACCCTGTGTCAAAAAGACCAAAAAAAAAAAAAAAAAAAAAAAAAAAAACCCAGAACACTGACACAGAAGCCACAGAAGCCAAACTTAAATTTCTTCACTCCCCATAAAGGGCAACCAAAACGTCCCTTTATGACAACAATCTGCAGGGCCCCACCCAGGACCGCACACCACTTGAGTTGTCACGTCTCCTTTGTCACCATGAACCTAGAAGAGGGTTCTCCAACAGCCCTTTCCAGGGTGTCAGCAATGTCCTCCAGACCAGCCATCCAAAAGAGCAGCCACACAGGCGCACCACCAAGCACGACGCCCAGCGGGAACCTGAGGTGCTTGTTTTATTTTCGCTAAATTAAAGCCCTCCTGTGGCTGCTCCAGACAACGTGGACCTCAAGGCCTCCTCGGGCTGTGAAATAAGACCTGGTGATTCCGAAGGACACAGACCATCGGGGCAAACGATCCACTCACCGGAAGTCGCCAGAGTTGTTCTGGAAGTTTCTCTGGGCACAGACCTCATGGGGTCCAGGAAGAGCGCCCCCCCCCGCCCGCCCCTCCTGCCTCCCTGTTAGCACAGTGCACGGCACGTCCCTGTCACACTCCCCGTGCCGAGTTGGAGCACACCTGCTGGCACAACGAAGCTCCTTTCCCTGTCCCTACCCTCCCGGCCCCCTTTCCCTGTGGAGGATCTGCGTCCTTCCCGCTTACCACCTATCTTTTATTTTGCTCCTTATTTATACTTTATCCGTTGCTAGAGGGATCACGCAACCTAAACGCCCGTGAGTGGTACGTCCTGCCTGCTTTCCCACGATAAAAAGATGAAGGTCATGGACGACAGCCGGGGGGCCTGGAGACAAGGGACCACGGGCGCAGGCCACGTGACAACGGAGCAGCAGCCAGAGTGACATCGCTCTGGCCAGCAGCCACCAGGAGCTGGGAGGGCCTGGACCCACTCTACCCCAGAACCCCAAGAAAAACGGGGGGCGCAGCACTGCCCCAAGCTCAGGCCCCCACAGCAGAAACAGCTGGCTCAGGGCACTGACACGGTCAGCCCACAGTGCCCGGCTCTGCGCCCCGCACACTCTGCTCTAGGGCAAGGGCTGCGGCTTCCAGCCTGGCTCAAGTATTTTTTGCAATCGGCCATCTCTAATTTCCTCAAAGCATTTATTTTACTGCCTCTTCAGCCTCCCGTTTTAGAGTTAATTACATGGGTCCTGACCATAATCACAGCCGGCAAGGCCAGGCGTCCTTTCTGGGCTCAGAGGAGCCAGCGACCCTTGCTGGGGACCAGCCTTTCTGCCTGGCCTGGCCCGGCGCGGCCCTACCCCACCCTCGGCCACTCCGCCCAACCTGGGCTTCGGGAATCCTGCCTGGTGCTGCTCAGTGTCCATCCAGGGCACCCAGCGGGGCAGGGAGGACTTCTGCTATGACTGTGACAGGCTGGAGAGAAGGGGCTGGCCGCTGGCTCAGTGCAGAGTGGGTACCCACAGCCCGGCCCGCTCACAGGGCACGTCCTGAGGCCCCTTGCTTGTGTTTATTTGTCCAATTTACGCAAAAGTAAGCTGAGGCAGGAAGCGCTAAGGGCCTCAGCACCTGACCGGAAGGCACAGATCCAGGAAGAAGCTGACATCGGTGTCAAGACGGCCTCGGGAGGGCTGCAGGCGGGGTGGGGCAGTGCCAGGGCTGCACCGGCGGCAGCACCCACAGCTCCTCCATGGCTGTCTTCCTCCCTCCTTCACCACACGGTCAAACAAACAAGGCCCAGTAAGAGGAACAGCCTGGCACCCCCATTCTGATTTCGGGCCCCTTCCTGTCCACCAAGGTGGGTTCCTCCTCCCCACACAGCCCCAGAGCCAGGGGGACAGATGGCCGGGGCCTGGCTGCTCAGAGCCTCGCCATCCCAACAGCAGGGACAGGCAGGTTCTAGAAAGGGACTCAAGGGTCTGGGACAAGAGGAGAGTGAGGGCCACCCGGCACCCAGCCACACCACCCTGCTCGGGCCTAACCAAACTGCTGGAAGCCCTCTCAGCCCCACGGATGTGATCAGGATGAAACCAGATTAGTACCAGACACCAGGTCCCCACCAGGCTCGGCCAGACGCCCAGGCCAGGGTGCTGCCCTATGTCATCTGTCACTCAGCTTCAGAGAAGCTGGGGGAGGGGGGAACAAGAGGTGGCCCAGGCCCACCAAGGCCACTTCTGTATGTGGCTATAAAACCAAATGCCCCACTCGGGACCACCCCACAGGCTGGGGAAGACAGCTTTGGGGGAGGGAGGGCCCCTGAGGCTGCAAGGACCCTCCTACCACCCTCGCAGGCTCCAGGTACTGCTGGACGGGGCACAGGACAGGCCTGCCTGCCCCTACGGACAGGAAACTACGTTTCCTAGGCTGGCCGCTACAGTGCCCCGGTGGCCAAGACAGAGTAGCAGGCGCCTGGGTGGCTGGCTGTGTGCACCTGGATGTCTCATCCCTCCAGCAAGGGCCTGGCCGGCCCCTTCTGCGCCGACTGGGGCACTACACACACCAACTCATGGCCGTCACAAAAGCCCCGCTGCACTCCGGGTTTTCCAGAACTCAGGGGGCCAGACCAAGCCACCGCCCACTCCCAGCTCCTTGCAGCCATCCCTAGAAGGAGGCTGCCAGCAGGGCCCTGCCCTGCCTGAGGCCGCTACACTGGACTGCTCTGCCCTCCCGGGCCGGGTCACCCTGTGAGTTGGCACACACATCCAGCTGGCATCAGATAACCATTCCACCCGTCTCAGCACCCCTGCTTGTGGCCACACTGCATCACAGCCCCCGCGGTGGGCACAGCTAGCACCAACAGCTCGGTGGCTGCCGGCTGTGCCCTAACCTGCTTCTACTCAACCACCTCTGGGCCTCCCTGGGCCAGTTTCTTCATCTTTAAAATGGGCAGGAAGAATTCTGCCCCCTCCACAATACCGGGCCCCTTCCCTGAAGGCAAGAAGGGACCACGGATGCTGAGACACTCTGCAGTCAGCCAGGCACCTGGCGACCACCCCCAACTGTCCGCCCCCAGCCATTCCAGCAGGACAGTGGGGAGAAGAGCCCACCCCAGCCACCCCTCTGTAGACCTGGGGACCAACCCAGGAGGGCCAGCGCAGCAGCTCCCAAGCTCTGAGGGAGACAGCTTCTCTCCTAACCTGCCCCTCCTCTGAGAGCCAGGACCCCCACACCCTGCCGTCACACTCTAGGCCAGGCTCTGTGCACTCCGGGGACACAGGGAGCCTCGCAGACCTGAGCGACCTAACTAAGGCCCATCGCGAGCGGTCCTCACGCTCCCAGCTGAAGGGGCGTGGGCGGCCCAGGGCGGCTGCCGAGTCCAGTCGTGCTGATCAGAACTCCAACTAGCAGCAAAGGATGTCTTTGGTCAATAAAAAAATGGGAAGGCGAATTAATGTCTTGTTTTATTTATGCCGCGCTCATTCCAACAACCATTTAAAACAGCACTGCTACCGCTTAATAGGTGCAGCCTGTCAGAACAGATCAAATTGGGGCCTGCGGGGTGGACGCACGGGCGATCCTGGGTGACAAGCTGGCCAGACACTCCGCAGCGTGGGCCCTGGATCTA